GCTACAAAGCATGTTTGCAAGGACAAAAGTCTATTCAAGACTTTAAAACCAGAACCTGAAGGAAATGTGCTGTATGTGGGAAATTCTGCAGCAGTACAAGTGAAAGGCAAAGGAACCGTGGACCTTGAGTTCACTTTTGAAAAAGTTCTCACTCTCACTCTCACTGATGTGCATTATGTGTTGGATATCAGAAAAAATCTAGTTTTAGCAAGTTTGTTGAACAAATTTGGTTTTAAACTTGTATTTGAGGCAGATAAATTTATTCTGTCTAAGGGTGGGATTTTTGTAGGAAAAGGTTATGCTTGTGAGGGCATGTTCAAGATGAACATTAATTATAATATTAATAATAAGGGTGTTGTCTCTGATTATATTCTTGACTCATTTAATTTATGGCATCATAGATTAGGACATGTTAATTTCAAGAAGATGCATGAGATGTCTAAATTAGAATTAATTCCTACATTACCTAAAAATGAATCACAATGCAAGACATGTATGCTTACTAAGATTACTAGAATTCATTTTCCTAAGATTGAAAGAGTTTCTAAACTGCTTGATCTAGTGCATAGTGATGTTTGTGACATGCATAGTACTCCTACTATTGGTGGCAAGAAATATTATGTTACTTTTATTGATGATTATTCAAAATTCTGTTATGTTTACTTGTTAAATACTAAAGATGAAGCAATGGAAAAATTCAAAGTTTATAAAGCAGAAGTGGAATTGCAAAGTGAGACATTTATCAAATGTCTAAGAACTGATAGAGGTGGGGAATATTATGATCCATCTTACTTTGAATCCATTGGAATTATCCATGAGATAACAGCTCTATACACACCACAACAAAATGGTGTGGTAGAACGTAAGAATAGAGTTTTAACTGAAATGGTGAATGCCATGTTATCAAATTCTGGTTTAAGTCCAGGTTTTTGGGGTGAAGCATAGCTAACAGCATGCCATATATTGAATAGGGTGCCTACTAAAAAAGGCCAAGTTATCCCATATGAACTTTGGAAGAAAAGAAAACCAAACCTTAACTATTTAAGAGTTTGGGGTTGTAGAGCAATTGTAAGAGTACCTTAACCCAAAAGGAAAAAAATTAGGTGAAAGAGGAATTGAATGTATATTTTTGGGGTATGCAAAAAATAGTAAGGCATACCGGTTTATGGTCATTGAACCAAATGATTCAATTAATGTCAATACCATAATTGAATCAAGAGATGCTATCTTTGAAGAGAGCAGATTTAATTCAATTCCTAGACCTAAAGAAGCAATTGCTGAAAGTTCAAAACAAAAAATAGAAGACAACTTGGAAGAAAATGAGTTGGAAGAAAACATTGAAGTTAGAAGAAGCAAAAGAGCTAGAAAAGCAAGAACATATGGTCCAGAATTTTACATGTTTCTTATTGAAGGAACAAGAGAAAAGACAAGAAAAGCAACTAAATTTTGTTTAATATAGAAGCTGATCCTGTGACATTTGAAGAAGCAATTAAGTCACAAGATTCAGCTTTTTGGAAGGAAGCCATAGATGAGGAAATGAGTTGCATAATGGGGAATAACACATGGATTGTAGTGGATCTTCCACCAGGTTGCAAACCTATAGGTTGCAAATGGATTTTCAAAAAGAAATTGAAAGTTGATGGCACAATAGACAAATTCAAGGCAAGATTAGTGGCAAGAGGCTATTCACAAAAGCATGGTATAGATTATTTTGATACCTATGCTCCGGTAGCAAGGATTGCCACTATAAGAGTATTAATTGCTTTGGCATCAATTTACAAATTGGTAATTCACCAAATGGATGTTAAAACAGCATCTTTAAATGGTGAATTAGATGAAGAAGTATACATGAAGCAACCAGAAGGGTTTGTGATGCCTGGTCAAGAAAAGAAAGTTTGCAAGCTTATAAAATCCTTGTATGGACTTAAGCAAGCTCTTAAACAATGGCATCAAAAATTTGATGAAGTGGTGCTTGCTAATGGCTTCAAACGAAATGAAGTAGATAAATGTGTTTATAGCAAGTTTAAAAATGGACAAGGTGTTCTTATATGCCTATATGTAGATGACATGCTTATCTTTGGTACCAACATAGAACAAGTTGAAGAAACCAAAAGGTTCTTGTCTAGAAACTTTTCCATGAAAGATATGGGTGTTGCTGATGTGATTTTGGGAATAAAAATTCATAGAGATGGTGATAATTTAGTCCTTTCTCAGTCCCATTATATAGAAAAAGTCTTGAAGAAATTTAATTTTTATGATTGTGCAATTGTTTCTACACCTTTTGATCCTAATGTAAGGTTAACATCTAATGATGGAAAACCAATTACACAATTAGAATATTCAAGAGTGATTGGATGCTTGATGTATGCAATGATTTGCACAAGACCAGATATAGCATATGTTGTTGGGAAACTTAGTAGATACACAAGTAATCCCAGTTCTTTACATTGGCAAGGAATACATAGAGTCTTGAAATATCTCAAGAAAACTATGTATTATGGCATTTGCTATAATGGTTATCCTTCTGTACTAGAAGGCTTTACGAATGCTAGTTGGATCACGGATCATGAGGATCATAAATCCACAACTGGATGGATTTTCATGCTTGGTGGGGGTGCTGTTTCTTGGGGATCCAAGAAGCAAACTTGCATAATAGATTCCACCATGGCAGCTGAGTTTATTACCTTAAACTCTGCATGTAAAGAAGGTGAATGGTTGAAAGATTTATTATATGAAATTCCTTTATGGCCAAAGCCAATGTCCCCGATCTCAATACATTGTGATAATGAGGCTACATTAGCAAAAGCTTATAGCCAAGTATATAATGGAAAGTCTAGACATATTGGTCTAAGACATAGTTATGTAAGGCAATTAATTGTTGATGGGGTGATCACCATAGACTATGTGAAGTCTAGTGAACATTTAACATATCCTTTAACAAAAGGATTGACAAGAGAAAAAGTATATAAAACATCTATAGGGATGGGTCTCAAGTCCGTTGATAAAAGTTACACATGATGGAACCTCGACTTAACGCTTGATGAAAACTTCAAGTCTTGAGTTCAATGAGTAAAGTACATCATATGAATGTGACTACAAGTACTCAATTTATTAATAATACCATCCCAAGTGGAAGAGTACTTGGTAACCATATGAAATAAAAAAGAGGTTGAGTTTTACTCTTAATAGGTCTTATAACAGATTTTTGTTAAAGTGCTTGATGCGGTGGCACTTTTGATGGGATCTACCTATATGAGTGGAAGTGGTGCCGCTTCTAGGAGTTGGGGACTTGACTCTAACAGTACTCATGAAAAGGATACAAGACACATGGCCAGTTTTTGTGTTGGTGGATGCTGAATTCCTTCTTTGGAAAGCTTGAAGTCTTGTGTGTGACATGTGCCCAATTAATCACTTAGAATCGCTGGTTCAAAGCATTAGTCTACCATGCAATTTTGACTAATTTGCCAACACATGTTCACTAAGTGAAAGGTTCAAATCGTAAGATACCTTCATGTATGCATACGATTTCCAAAACAATTGGTGGGCAATTCTATTTTGAAAATGGTGGGGGAATGTTGAAGAATTTTCAAAATATTTTCAGGATTTGGGTTCGAACCACAAAAAGTTGATTCAAAGCAATTGCACAGAATGCATTTGAGAAAGTGTAACTTTGGTTTGAATCATAATTATATGATTCGAATCATTTACGTAAAACCAAAATATGAAAAGTTACGATTTTGATTCGAATCACATTTTTCTAATTTGAACCATTTACGTCAGAATAAGAGATAAAATTTAAATAAGTTTTTGAAGAGAGTGGATAACTTTGGAAGGCAAGGAAACACGTCATTTGGAGTTCAAATCAAACCAAATGACTTTTGAAAAAGTTTCCAATGGATAAATTTCATGATAAGTCAGTTATTATCCGTTAATAAACTGATAATAACTGAAAAGGAGCATCTGTTCACAACAGACATCTTGCCCCTATAAATATGAAGTTATCTCTTCTTCTTCTTCGTCTCTTGAACCCAGAAACAAATTCCTACTATTATCTAAATAAAATAGCCCCTTTTTGCACTTCGATTGCTACAGAAATCCTAGTACAAAAACTATTGTTTTATCGCTCTCCAAAGGATAGTTCAGTGGTTGATCTTGCTAGTGCAAAAGCAAGATCAACAAGGCGCTTCATTGTATCCTATAGGCATTTCGAGTTACTCCTTTTGCATACCAGATCTGGTGGGGGCGAAATTAGCCTTAAAAAAAGTGACATTTGCAACACGCTTTGAAGCCATTTGCAGATTTTCTACCTTATTTACTCAACAATTGCTGCGTGTACTCCATTCACCTTTTCTTAAGACAGTTTTACGGATTCAAACGCTTAAAGCCATTTTCCATACCTAATCTTCCATTTTCAATACCTAACGCGGTTTTTTTTTTTTTTTCAACAATACCTGATGAGGTTTTTGTTATTTTTTTCAACAATACTATCAATAGTTTCAAGCATATTGAGAAAGTCGTAAAGGAAACTAGTATCCTATCTAATTCCTTGTCCCTTGTGAATGCTTCCCTGCGAAATATACTCAGTTTAATTAATTTGTAATTTCAGAGGTGGGACTTGGACTGGATTGTGATTATCTTTGATTGTGTGACTCGTAGTATTGTAGTATTATTGGGTGAGAGTATCCTTATACTCCTTATATTATAATTTTTCTTGATTAATAAAAAGAATGTTGTTCAACTAATCTTCCTCCACTATATGCCCCTAAATTTAGGGTGATGTTTGACTAGTAGTAATAGTTGTTTCTTTGTTAAACTATAAAAATAAAATAAATTTAAAAAATTTTTCCTTAAAAAATAAGAAATAACTAAGTCATTGATAATTTTCTACTAAATTAAAAGATAAATAAAAAAATATATATTACTTCCATTTTTTAATGAATAAGTATTCCTTAATTTCGGCATTAGTTCTTATGATAAATTTTCCTCTGGTTGCAGGCAATAGGATTAAAATTTTATGTACCAATATATCTGTTCTTAGTGCGCAATATATCACTTACCTTATATTTATTTTATTTTATGTTTATTTTTTTATATATATCAATTTTTAAATTGATCTAGTAGACTTAACAATTTTATATGATAATACAAAATTTAATTTTATTATTTGTCAATAAATAATGTTTATTTAATTAAAAAGTTATAAATATTAAATTAATATAAAAATTGACAATGATAATTTATATAAATAAAATTTTTAATACAATAAATGATTTTTAAAAATATTAATTAAAAAAAATTTTAAACATATTTTCAAAATAAATTTTGGAAAAACGACCCATTGTTTATATTGTGCCTTGTTCGCTCTGTTTATATAAAACTAAGAAAGAACACGCACCAATAACATAGGGAGTTCTAGAAACTTACTCGTCTAAGAGTGTTAGTTGGGTTTTCGGGTTTTTCTCCACCTATGCTTGTCGTTGCTTCTTCCATCAAATTTCTGCTGATATTTGTCCACATTCTTCGCCACCCACTGTGGTTTAAAACATGAAAAATAAATTTACTTATTGAATTGATTTAAAAATAAAATAAATTCTTATTCATTTATGTACCAAACTCATTGTAACTGGTCAATATTCCTAGTCTTCCATCAATCTATTAAAATTTTTAGGTGTATTAGCAATTGAAGTAGAGGAGCTGAATTGCACCTTCTGCCTTTTACTAAACCTTCCAAGTTTCAACACATTTAATTACGTGTATTAGCAAAAACAAAATGTTTAATTATACTAGCTATTAAAAAAGTTTAATTGTGTGAACAATGTTTTTTATGTTAACGACTTAAATAATTCAGTAATAATTTTTTTTCGTTAAAAATAAGAGATTTTGAATTTGAATCATGTAACATGCGGGTGAAGTGGGATAAATAATGTGATAAAAAATGAAAAAGAATTACTTTTCGTTGTTGTGTAACTAATATAAAAAAAATATATTTTTTCCTTTTATAAAAAGGATAGAAAAATTTCATTCACTTTTATTGTGCTAAAGAAATTTCTAGGAAACTAGGAAGAAAGCTGAAGGACATTCACCTTTAGGAAGACTATAAATACTAGTGTCCAGCCGTTCAATTTTGAATAATCCATCACTCCTTTCTTTGCCAAACTGTCTTCATCTTTAAGAAAATGAGAAGGTTAATATGGTTTTCCGAAGTCCTCTGCCTTTGCTTCTTGTTTTTACAGTCTCAAGTCCAAAGCTCCTTACCTTCTCAATCTTCTTCCGATTTACCACTACATTTGTGCCGTCCTGAAGAGCGTTCTGCATTGCTTGATTTCAAAAGCACTATTATTTTATTAGACTGTCCTGATCCTAGTCGTCATATAATACAAACTTGGAACCAGAGAATAGATTGCTGCCTGTGGGAGGGTATCACATGCGACAAGCGAAAAGGTCACGTGATTGGCCTTGATCTTAGCAGTAATTGTCTTGAAGCCAGACTAACCACAAATAGTAGTCTTTTCCGCATCAGGAAATTGCAGAACCTTAACCTTGCTAATAATTATTTTTATTATCCTAGCATCTCATTTGGGTTCCACCGTTGGAAAAGTTTGACATCTCTCAATCTCTCAGGTACAAGATTTCATTACTTTCT